CTTCTGCTGCTTAGCCTTTGCCTGTTCCTCACGGATGCTAGCCAGAATATCAGGATACCAGCGTTCTCCAACATCGGGGTGACTCTTGACTCGATTTCGCAATGTTGCCTCACCAAGCGTCTTTGAAGCACCGCCAGCTCGAAATGTGAACTCGACATCATCAATACGCCCGCCATTGCGCTCCACAATCTTGCGACGCTGCTCCCGTACTTCCTCTGGTACAAGACCAACGCCAACTTTCTCCAGATCTTCAAACTCAGCGCTCATACGCACGCCTTGGAAGAAAGGAATAGAGAAGCGTGCCCCTGAGCCAGCAGCGGGGGAGAGGACACGATGTGTTGTAGAGACGCAGACACCTTGTGTAAGTGCCTCTAAGCCTTGGCCGATAGCAACGACGAGGGTTCCTGGTATTGGCTCGCAATCAATCCAATCACCTCGGACGTTCTGTACTTGAAGGCCCTTGTGCGATGTCGCCTGGAGGAGATAGCTAGTAAGCATGCTGTCTTTGTGAGGACCTACACCCTGGCCCTGCACGTTTCCTTCGATGCCAAGTTCCTTTGCATCGGGATACTTGACAATCTTGAGCTTGTGTTGCTGATCTTGATCAAAATATTTATTAAAGGCGTCGCTGGGGAGTTCAATGGCTTCGGCGATGAGAGACGTAAACTGAATCGAGATCTTGCCCATGCGCTCCATGTAGTCTGTATACACTTTGCGGAACCCAGGCAACGAGTCCTCGGATGGCCATTGATTGGGTGCTAGAAGGTTACGATATAGAGGAGCATCGGGCTCAGGGATAGGATGCTCTGTTGAGAGATCAATTTGTTCACGATGATCAATTTCTCCAGCTGTGATCTCCGCTGAGAGACGAGAGTAGCCTAGGAAAGAGGGCGCATTCTTCATCTCAATCTTAAGTCTGTGGCGAGTTAGTGAACCATCAGATCATGATAATCAATGTCACTCATCAACACTCACTTCTCTTCCTCGGGAATTTCAAAGAACCCCTTTCCAAGTTCAATGATCTTCTGGAACAACTCATCCGAGATGCCAACATTCTTGAGATACAAGAAGCCAACTTCCATCAAGGCATGGCGAAGGTCCTTTAGAAACTGAGGCTTAGTAGCAGGGTCCTTGGCCGCAGCTAGGTCCAGAATTGGAATAGATGTAAACGACATTTCTATATGCCAAGTTGAACAAGCAAAGTAAGGTAGGTACCTAGGTAGTAAAAGACTTAATGTTGTAACTTGTTGATAAATAACTTGGTATCTTTCACTCCAAGGTTGTCATATCCAAGTCAATAGATCGACTGACTGATTACCTAGGTAGTTATCACTTCCTTGTGCTATGGCGCGATTGGTCCACCCGAATACACCTTTTTCTCCTCTTCTCCTTCGTCTCCAAATCAAGCCCCGTCCCCGCATCTGCAACCGATTCCCGAGAGATGCCAGCGATTGCCTCTTTTTTCAATCACGCCGATGTCGGCCATACCCTAGGTGCATATACAAACTGAGTGAATAGCTAGTATTTCAGACCTACTCAACGCCGGCGCTGCGATCATCTAACTTCCCAAGACCACATGCGACTAGACTATGACTGTCTAGTTTGATTTATACATACTCCTCTGTAACAAAAAACATTCTAGCTTTTTAAACATGCCTTATTATGTACCAATTTATCCCCTTCATAATGCTGAAAGAGGCTTTGTCGCGAGCAGGCCCGTAACCTTGTAAAACAAATCCTCGATCGGAGGCGCAGCAAATGCTGGTGCAGCGTCAAAGATGTCGGCTAGATGCTGTTGTTGAATCACGCTTGGATGAGAGTCATCATCTTCCATCTCGACATCTTGAGGCTCAGCCACGGGCTCGACTTCGGCATCGTCAACATCGCTTGCCATATCCTCATCCTCATCAAGAAGACCAGCCTCATTGCCATTAACATCAATGCCCTCGAGGCGGAGGTCCTCAAGAGGCTGGACGGTTGCAAGAGATGAAGGGTCTGACCCCTCGGCAACCACCCAGACTTGAGCAGCATCATCTAAAGCGATGAAACCACTTGTCTCAGGAGCAGAAACCAAGCTGACGATCCTTTGAGGCGTGCTACGCACCAACAGGGGCTCGATATACTCAGGCTGGAAAACTGCAATGAGAGAACCCTCGTTAGCTGGCAGAGCTAGGGCAAAGTGACCGGAAGTGTGATCGACAGCCAGCTGAAGAAGAGCATTGGCCTTGGATTGTGGTATCACAACACCATATCGTAACTCATCACTGACAACGTCGTAAACGCGCAGTTCATCTGATAGGATAATGACAAAAGGCGAAAGGGCACGGATAGATCGCAATTGACCTTTCCATTGGCCTTCGAGGGTCTTAACCACATCGCCTGACGCAGCATCAATCAAGTAGATCACACCGGAGCCAGCTGTTCCGAAAGCCACGAACAGAGTTGAGCCATCTTCCGAGAAAGCGATACTTCCTTGGGGCTCTTGAGCAACACCGGACTCAGGGAGGTCGATCACGCCGTCTTGAGGAATGCCGTCACCCACAGCAATAATCTGAGAGCAGCTCCAAGTGAAGACCTCGCGACCGTTAGGCCCCTTCACTACAACTCCATTCTGAGATCTTGTCTTGGGGCGCCACAATCGAACATTGCCGTCGGTACCAATAGTCGCGAAGCATGTCGAAACAGGGTTCGAGGCTAAGTCGAGAACTGCCTCGTTGCGATTTGTAGCATGAGGGGCATTGATCCTGGAGACAAGGGCAATCTGCTCCTCGCCTTCTTGCGCTTCCCAGAACTTGAGATACACCTCTCGTCGTTCTTGAATAAACTGGTCCTTGGCATCGCTGATAACGTTATCCACATCTCGTTGTGATGGCTCCCAGGTGTCAACACTAGCAAGCCACGCTCCGTCAGCTGAGAAAGCTAGGCGAGTAATGACGGGTTCTTCGATAGGGTGGCCCTTATTCGTGATGTTGACATCTGTTGGCTGTGTGCGAGCCAAAGCTTGCTTGGAGACGCTTCGAAAAGTCTCAAGATCGAAGGTCTGAAGCAAAGGTGCAGAGAATCCTCCTGACATAGTAGCCTGCCTGCCATTACCAACACAGATATGTAATCTCGACTGATCAGTAGGGCTAATGGCAGCTGGGATAGGTCGCTGTACGCTTGCAGGCGTTGTCCATGTTCGCTGAACGAGAAGATCCTTGGGTGTAGTGACGTTGATAGCGGCCGACTGGATACCAGCGATGTATGCTGTAGGCTTCATCTCAGCGGTCGAAATGACCATGACTGAGTTATCGTCAAGGTGAACAACATATGAGGAGCCATTGGCAGAAACTGTGATGTTCTCCACGCTGCCAGAAAGATGGGGAAGAAAATCCTTCTTTCCTGTGTCCATTTGCCATAGAACGAGAGAGTTCTCAGAACCTCCTGAAATTACATAATTACCTGTGATATGTTAGTACAGTCCTCGAGACTCCTTGTGCAGTGTAGATTCGTACCATCGCGCGACCACTTCAGGGCGTGCACCGCTCTACGGTGCCAATGAAAGTTTTGCGCTTGAATGGGTTCCTTATCAGATCCTGACTTTGCAAGCGCCTGGCTTCGAGCAAGCGCATCATGGTAGAGGTAGATTGAACCACGAGCACCGCCAACAATGATATCCAGAACAGGAGCAGCTTCCTGTCGCGATTTCTTTCCGCTCGTCACTGGTCTAGGATACACTCTCAGGTCAAGGGCGCTGACCAAATCGGGAATATCGAAGGTGTAAATCTCGTAATCCAAAGAAGCCAGGCTATCGAACTGTCGCTGTGATGGAACGCCAAAGAAAAGGCGGTCATTAATGGCGCCAACCAGGTGGCCATCTTCACTGGTCTCAAGCAACTGCAGGCCATTGCCAGGCTTCTTCATAACGAAGAGGACCTTGTGCTCAGACTCCGTTGTGGAGGCTGGATATGCGACAACCTCAATTCGGCTTGCTTTATCAGATTCTGCCACAAAGATGATTTCCTGGACTCTTCCAGAGACCTTTTTTGTAACGAGGGCCATGGCAGTCGCAGTCTTGGATTGGGTCTGAAAGAATTCGGGGGTCTTGGAGGTTGTCCAGTCGACTTCACAGACGCGGCCGTCAGAGGTAGCCACCCAGACGATATTGGAGTTTTGCTTTGCTTGTCTCATGGCAACAATATGCGCGGAAGCTGCAGACTTATCGCCGGAGGGTTCAGCTGCAGTAATGGGGATTCGTCGAACAAGGAGTGAATCGGCTGCCGAGTACACCTGGATAGAGGTGTTGTATGCTATAATGAGAAATCTATGAATGTTAGCTAGGCCAGTTGCAGCATTAATGAGACTTACTGCTCATTTTCTGTCAATACGGGATCGATATCAAGCATCCTACCACCCATGGGCTTCGAAACGCGCCATCCTGCCTCTGTATTATCGAACTGGCGAACAATCTCAATCTCCCGAGTTCCAGCCTCCGCCAGAGCTCCAGAGATACCATTCACCTCAGCAACCACGCCATTTCCACTTTCGTTCTCGAGCTTAATTGTATTGATTTTGTTCGCCTTTCGCTCAGCTCTTAGCCTCTTGGTTCTTGAATCGTTTTCCGTCACATCGCGTTTGCGCTTCTTGGTCGGGTCGTTTTTTGTTCGAGGACTCTTGTGGCCAGCCATTTTCGCCACCTTCTTCTCTCTGCACGAGATCAATTTCTTGTGCTTGCGACGTTTTTTTAACAATTCGTCGACGGAGAGGAAAGTAACGAGGTTGTCCTGCTGGATACGCTCCTGCTGGGTAAATGTTCGCAGAAATTTTGGTCCCGCTTGCGAAAAAAAAGTTGCTGATAAGATAAGCGCTCCGTCGGAAAAATAACGGAGCTAGAATTTATTTTCGTAGTCCTCCTGCAACGCCGAACTATCGCAAGCTTTCTTTGTAACGTGCCTCCTGCTCTTGTCGCAATTCTGCTGGACGCATCTGACGAACCCGCGCACTCACGATATTACATCAAAATGATCATTCCTATTCGCTGCTTTTCCTGTGGAAAGGTATGATCTTCACTCGCGACGCGCCAGACGCTGATTACTAATTTGGAACGTAGGTCACTGGTGACCTCTGGGAGCGCTATCTTCAACTGATCGCAGATCCCCGTAAGACCGATGGGTAAGCTGGCACTTTCTACTTTATGCGGCTGGAAATCTAACGAGCGTAGCGACGCTATGGACGAGCTCGGTCTGAAGCGATACTGCTGCCGCCGCATGATCATGACCCACGTTGATCTTATTGAGAAGCTTCTTAAGTACGACACGGCCATCCAGATCCCATCACATACGCAATTTCTAACCCTCTTTAGGTACACTCCCGATGGACGAAGCGAGAAGAAGCAGAACCTTGGCGTTCAATACTCATAGAATGCGTGGTGGCAAAGAAGCAGCGAATGAATGGTTGTGCATGGTTTGGCGTTATGGGAATCTTGCCGAAATATGTCACTTTGACGGCGCAAGGAAGGCAATGAATTGATCAGTTTCAAATACGGGAGCACGAGTCCTCATAATCTACAGTGCCCTATACAGACACTTTCGAGAATGTCAATATTGATCGGTGTTTTCACTGAAACTTTTCCACTATCCTTACTCATGCTTCCCTCCATAAGACACGGTTGGCTCTTAGCAGGCCCTTGGTCCTGCATGTATTCCCTTCTGGCAGGAGGTCCTTATGCACTCATCAGAGCAAGAAAACTTCTGACATGAAATCAGGGTGCTGCAATGAACTGGTTTAACCGTGGCTTGCTAAGAAATACTAAACTAACCCAATTCTTTTCGTTACCAGATAGAGGTTCTAAGTTTTCTTGCCTCTAAAGGGCACTATGCCATTGACTACTAGGATTTAATCCTCAGACTACAACTGCAACACTCCCACCCTTGCTGAGGCCTGTGCGCAAAGAGCGGTGGATGTTAAGTTGCGGCGAGGAACAACAAGCAAGAATCAGGAGATGGCCCATGTTTGTTAGAGAGCATGCCAACATCTATGGGCAGCCAGAAGAGGCTAGTTAAACTGGCGCGCATATTCTCAGTCTCACCTGATTATCCAGGTGCTGGAATTGAGTCTTCTTGTTTGCCTCTACGGTCTGGCCTCACTTGAAGACCTCGAAAATTCACTCAAATGTGTTGGTTGTCTTCAACGCTTGCAGAAGTGGGCAATGGCATCGAGCCAACAGCCTTTTGCAAGGCCAACGAGGATGACAACACATCCGGATGTTGGTTGAAGCTCTCATGTCTCTGGGGTCTATACCTGTTCTATTATAGCAGGGTTACCCTTTTGCTGTCGATCCTGTAACTTATTGCCCTAGTAGCTGGACAACGGTGTAGGGGAATGCGACGCTTTCGCTCTACATCGTGATACCTTTCTACCAGGAGCTAAAGTGAATGCAGTTTCCCTTCTGAAGCGAGACTGAGAACAATTCAACAGGGTTGTCCTATCTATGGATCCAAAGCAACAAAAAGCTTGTCGTAAAGATACTCAATAATTTGGCTGGCCTTTTGCTATTTGAATGACAAGGATGGTAATGTCTATATGGTATATAAGCACGAGAATTACTCCGTACCTCTTCTCAAGACCCATTTTTTGAGTTCCGGTTCTTGAACTACTTTGCAATTATATGCAAGCCAGTCGCCATGCCTGAGTCTCATAACCTGTGACTTGGGCCTGGGTTCCATGAGACCGGGAGTTTCTGAAGGCCAATACACTAGCGGGTGATCTCTCTTTGAGGCCCGTCATGAATTTCCAATCTTGGCTGAGTCGCTCGACCTATTGAGTGCCTCGAGCCGCCCTGTTATCAGCGGCGTAGACAATCTCAAAGAGTCATGGAGCAGACAATGTAAATAAGACAAAGAGGCGTTGGTTCGGAAGAGCTCGTCTACCTCGTCTAGTGTGTGTGGCTGTTCGGGCCGCAAGTGCATGGGCAACGATGTATTTCATGGACAGATGTGCTGTGATATAGTAACGACAATTCAGAATACTTCATGCAGTCGGAAAGGACTTGTGTACCACACACAAGCGACCTGGTTCTAGTAACAAGCTTGGCCAACAACCGCATTTTTCTTTTTCTTATGCTGATCAACCAACACGATCTTCATCCTAGACAGGCAGCACAGACGGACTGGTTACCGCAAGTGGAAAGCTTGAGTCATCAAGTTGTACAACACAATAAACAAACAACCTCGAGCCAAAGAGAAGAGTGTCAAAGTGTCAAAGGTCTAGGCAGGCTGGCGCTTATGCACTGCATTCTGTGCTTCCCTCCGTGGCTTTCTCATGCATACTCGGAAGTCTACTTCGGGCTCAAAGCTGTTGTCACAGTGTTTCGTAAATCTATTCAATATGTTAAAAGCATATCTTCATATGTTGTATATTGGCGATGTACATAGCCCTCCTTGTTGGGTCACATCTGCATATTCTGACCTCTACGGCGGTGGACGGCGGGATGTGTTCCGGAAGGGATAAATCCACACCGCAACCCTGTTCTTGGGTTCGAGAAAAGGATCGAGAAAGATCCCTGGCTCAGTGGGAGCACAAAGCTTGTACCATTCAGAATTCCGAGGTGAACTCGTGGAGCTGTCAAGGGTGCATCAACACCTATTCAACCGTTTAACAAAGACTGGGAGTCCCCGCACCGGCTGGATGGATTGGCGATCGCTAATGCAATTCCGAGAATCTGTCTAGCGTTGTGATAACTAAAACAACGCAACAGGCGTTAGGTTATCACCACGCTAAATTGGCTACAGGATTCAGACCCCAGACGATGCCTTCTGTCATAACATGGCCTCCTCGGGGAGCAAGAAAACTCAGACCTTAATATAGAGTGTTAAAATAAACTCAGTAAAAGTTATCATAAATTTATGCTAAGTTACCTAAGTTTTTTCGTCATTTAGGGTCAAGTTCCTGAGTTCTTTTTCCCCTCTCCTAGCATGGGTAGTAGTAAATAATTCAGTCTTGGCCGCGTAGGCATAATTCCTTTTGCTGTAAACCCAGCCGAGTGTTCAGTCCTAGAAAAGAGCTTTGGAAACCGCCTTTTAGTTTGCATGAGCCTGGTGGCTAGTGGTGTTGGTCTGATTATAAGCGGATTGATTTGCCATTTTTTCTAAATTGGAACAGAATCCACTTATTATGGTATTAGGTCTCTGGCAGTCATAAACAAGAATGAACTGAAGGTGGTTTCCTTTGGAGTGGCCGGACAGTGAGTGAGCGATGGGTTCTAGAGGCCATGGCGATCAGGGTTGAAAAGCCAGGGGGGGGAAGAGATTGACTGGAGGGCCTATCCCATGCATATTCTAGTAATCTTTTCGAATCTTATGTTGTTACGGTGCCAAACTGCTGGCATCTGGACATTGCTGAACTAAGGTACCTGTCATGATAGTATCATGTTCCAGAGCAAACTGTGCGCTACAAAGGACATACTGCAACCCCGGGTGGGGCCACCGGCTCGTTTTAGCGTTGCCAAAGCCGCCGTGACCAGACTGCTGGGTTCGCCGGGTTCTGAGGTTTGGGTTGTTGATTGGCTTGTTCTACATCCTGGTCGTATCCCTGCGAGCCCAGGGCGTTTAGAAGCACCATCTTGAAGACCTAGCATATTGAGTAGTACGTATGGCCATTGACTTCTGGAGTAATGAGGAGAGAGGGCCACTCCTCAAGCTAACTATAGAAGTGGACGAAGAATTCTACCTCACAGCTGTTCTACTCCATCCTCAGGTAATTCGGATGGAGGGTTATTTGAAAGCAATGGAGACTGTAGGATCTTTTGAGGGCCACTGATAAAGCATCTAAGTCGGACGCTGTCAGCCGGCTGAATGGTCAGTCGCGGCACACGCTTTCAAACAAAGTAACCCAAGATCATGTTGGGCGTGGTCCCCAGAACTCAAGAGTCTACAGTAAGTTCTTTCTAAACATGACGCTGGTTAGGATTACGATTTTAGGTTGTCGATCATGCTGAATACGTATACAGCATTAGGTGTCACATTCCGTACCGTTGATGCCGTGCAGCGGGCCATGGCACATGGCATCGACTCTGTACCCATATTAAGTACTGTACAGCTGAACTTGGGAGGAAAGCTCGGAGGTGTATGTATTGTAGCTTGTCGAACATAAAGCACCACGAAGCACAGCATTGGCCAGTTCCAGGTCGTTGGTGGAAGCAATGCAAGTGGGGGACTTCGGAGGATTGGCCAGTCCCACCATGAGTTAAGCGCCGACGCCTGTCCTTTTTTTAATATGCCCCACGAGTTTTGGAGCCACGATCCATCTACCCTGGCCAACTGTCTGGGGTTTGACTGGCTCCTTGTCATGGACGGGCGGCTGGAAGTTCTCTCTTACGGTTATCTTGTAGCGGTGCAGAGCTATTAAGTTGAGCGCAAAGTGACGGGCAGGTATACTTGCAGAAGTAGTTGCTTTCAGTTGTTTAGCATGATCGGCAAATCGGGACGAAGGGGCTGTTAACTGACTTATGCTGCTATACAGAAATATGGAATAATGATTCAAGGATGAAAAGACAGCCCGAAGGTGGAAGTTATCTCTATACCTAACCTCAGCCACCTGGCTTGATTAAAGTAGCTGGCATCGATTGTGCCTACCGCGGGAACACTGATGATTGCGATCTGTACGTAGGGCAGGTGCTAACCATAGTGGGCCTCCCGTCCCCTGATCCATGGCCCATTCGTCAACCAGCTAGCCAGCCTCTCCTTCCGCCCACGGTAATGCTGTAGACTTACACGACGGTGTTGAGGTCAGTCGTTTCCATGAGAGATATTTACCTACCTATTTTCTCAGCCCACCGCCGGTCTCAATGGACATGCATGCCTGTCATCTGCAATTGTATCAATTCGGGTTTCCTGAGCAAGTACCATCATTGGATTGAATCAACTTCTCTACATGATAAGAGTCACTGCAATACACACAGGGGAGTCATCAACAGGTTGCATTGGCCACACCCTATTCTACCGTAAGATACTCAGCACAATAGCCAGAGACAAGAAGACCTTGTTGGAAGTCGCTTGAAGTGGCCCAGGAGGGCAGGCTGTTCATGATTAGCCGCTCCATCCATTCACCCTAAGCATCCAATTTCAACACCCCGATGCTGCAAGTTGACGGGCTTCTGCCACACCTTGATATATTGAACTTAGATCCAAGCCTTTCAAATCACTTGGGAAACCCATCTCGGGACCGCATTGGCACTCACCAGCATCAACCCATCACCTCGGCAGAATTTCTTGGTCAGACTGTTCAGGAGAAACCCAGCAACTACCTAAGTCAACATCTCTGGCCCCCAACTTCACCCTCCTCTCTAGAGTCCCATTTGGCTGCGACTTGATCCACACAACTGGCCCACCGGCTCGCAAGACAATTCATACTTTCAGATTGTCTTGGCTGTATGTACTCTCTTTTAGCTAAGTACGTACTCTCAGAAGCTTCGAGTGTCACAGGTTGCGTCCTAGCCGCAGAGCCCCTCCTGCTACCAGCTTGATCGATATCCACACCTCCCACAGTCCATCAGCTGGGCCACGCCCCATTCGTGATCCAACCGTCTTTTGGTTCACGTTCTCCGACATTCTATATTTTCCTGTTCCGTCTGGTGAACCATTAACAAACACAAATCTGGTCAAGGTATAATTGCGGTTTTTGAATCACTCACAGAATTGCATTGCTTCAATTCCATCGACGAAGCAATTCTCTGAGACCTCATACACAACACCTATTTAATAACTATCGCGTCTCTTTGTTTCCCACCGCGCCAACCATCGCGCTCCCGACAAGCGCCGGCTGCATGTACGGCCCCCCCCATAACAACTCAAGGCAGCTCGCCAGGACAGGTAGCAGACAGGTATCAAGGTAGCAAGGGAGCAAGCTTCCGAAGCCAGCTCACAGCTACCAGAGGTGGCATCAACAAATATCTTGAAAGCTGCCGTCTGCTTATTCGTTACTTGGCTCTCGCAGCACCAAGAGCTACAATTGAGTACCTGGCCCATAACACCCCAATGTAGCAGGGCTGCGAGAACAAGGGACCCGGTCTCACGAACCCCTGTCAAACTGGCGTCTGTCTGTCTGCCTTAGTCCGTGGTTGCAACCGCTGGTGCTCCAGCTTTTGGCTCTGCCTGTTTCTTTAAACCTTTCCCCCTCCATTCTGACCATTCTCTCTCTTCGGTTCGGCTTTTGGTGAGCTGGTTTTGTTGGACGAACTTGCTTGCTTGCTTCGTCGTTGGAGTGTCATTGAGCCCTTCATTCAGCATTTGGACCTTCTGTTTGTTTCTATTTCACCAATCTTTCCTTATTGCTGTTCGACTGGATCAGACTAGTCACGCAGCCTCCCGATCCTAGCACACTCGATTCCATAGGTCTCTTAACTGGCCGCGCGACCGCACATCGACCGACGACCGACAAGCTCATCTTTTAACTCTTGTCGTCACGACAGCTGTTGGTATTCTCGAATCTATCTCCTGCTTCAGGTTCCGATTACCTGTCAGCCTTGGGATAGTTGCATCGTAAGGCTTTCTTGCGTCGGTGCTTGGTTGGAGCTGTGAATTGTCTTGAGGTCCCCTCTGCCGTCGGACCTCTCAACTACCAGCGTCAGGATAGCTCAATATTTAGAAACTCCACGTTCCCGTCATGGCCCTTGAAGCTCCTTTGAGGTCATCGACTGGAAGCCTACAATTCCCCTTCGTTTACCCTCAGACAGACATGTCTGCGCCCACAGAGAATGAGAGCCGTCGCTCTCCATTCAGACCATTGTATGTTGCCTTGGAAGCTATGCGCTTAACGTGAAACCTCTCGGAATCTATATTAACCCATGTCTCTCAGCTCTTCTCCTCCTCCTGCTACCGATTCGTCCTCACTTCGACCCAATTCTGTCAATCGCATGTCAAGTAGCTCCTACAATGTCATGAGTCCTAGTGACATTGTGGGTCCTTCTCCGGTCACATCTAATGGTACTGAAACGACCGAGATCGAGGATGATGTCTCAGAAGATATTGAGAAGGAAGTCAGTGATAGAAAGGCTACCCGACGGTCAGAGGTCAGTCACAATGGGCACCACGGATATTCGGGCTATGAATTAACTTGACCACAGCTCTTAATGCTCACAACTAACTTACCGGAGAGTGTGCGCCAGTCCAGCAACGAGGAGGCTATTTCTGTCATTCATGCACCAGAAAGTTTTTCCAGCTGGGTAAGTTTCATAGCCATCCTATATACAACACATTTAACGCGATTCAGGCTGCTCCAGCTGCCGCCGCACCTCCAGCCATGGAGCACAAAGGGCCAAGTCCAAGGACATCTCCAAAATCAGAAGCTGAAAGCTTGGCCTCTCTCAATGGAAGGCAAGAGAAGGTCTGTTACCCTTGACCTAAATTTATGCCATGTACTAAACGGTCATCAGACATCGACTCATCCCGTTCGACCTCCGATTTTAACCGATGTGAACCCTGTGCGGTACAGCATCGACAGCGCCACTCCCCGAGCTCAAGACCTGCAATCCATGCTGGACGATGGGGCCCGGTTACGTTCGAGTAGTACAAGTAGTCTCGAGAGTAAGTAAATACCAGTTTAGTCACCGGATTTGGCTAATCAGATTAGAAATCGACGAACAAACCGAGGCTGAGGGTGACGACGAAGACTATGAATCAGAAGCCATGCCGATACCACAGCAACAAGACGAGATCGAGACTCTACGAACAACTCTTGCTGAGTGCTGGACGTTGTGCAACAGTTTGTCCAAGCTCAGTTCCATCAATCGTAACCGTGCTCTTGGCAAAAATGGCATTCCCGACGCCCATGAAAAAGCATGGAGGACATGCTGGAAACTTTGTCAACGGCTGTACCACAGTCGAGATGAGGACGTGAGCAATTTCAATGTCAAGGTCAACCTTGATTTGTGTCGCGATTTCTGCCAAGCGCTATTTGATGTCCGGCAGCGGAATGATGAAGCAGCGGACTCGGTTTTGCGTGTTAGCTTTGAGCTCAACAACCAGTAAGTGCCATCGATAAGTGACGCTTCTTACTCTAACAAGTCGGCAGCCTCTATAGTGCCCAGGATGGTACCCTACCAGAGCAGTTCCGAGAACGCACACTGGACTTCTACATCGCACTTTGCCATCGACTAATGAAGCAACGGAGTGATCTGGCCGAGGAAACTGATCAGTTGCTCAGGGCCTGTTGGGCACTTGCAGAGATGCTCTTCAATCTCAGGCAGAACAGAAGGGATGGAAGACCGCCAGATGAGGAGCTGCTGAGCTCTACTGTCCAAGCCTGCTGGGAGCTCTGCGATGTATTCCGAGACAGCTGGACACAAGTTCGACCTGATAGAGGAACACCTCGAGCCGGACACGCATTCCCTCAGCATCTGAGTGATCAGAGCGGCCGGCAGAGTCGAGGATCAAACCCATCTTCAGTCCATTCGAGACACGATAGTGTCAAGAGTGGTCGGCAGGAAGAGAAACCAAGAAACCCAGCTGTTCCAGAAACCCCTGTAACCGAGTTCGAAGACACGCCCATCTCTCCACAGAGTCGTTCGCCAACAATGCCCAACATTCTTGTCCTAGGTACTCCTAGTGACAATAGCCGCGGTCGGTGGTCGAGTAGCGCGTCCAATCTTTCTAGCTACTCAAAGAGCAGCACCAGGACTTCAAGCACAGCCACCACTACAGCTGCATCAGAAGATGCAAACGTGACGCGTGCAAAGGTACTTGTTCTCCGAGCTGCTATGAATCTTGGCTTCAATCGTGATACCATCCATGAGCCCAAAGCTGCAGCTGCTGCATTACAGAAATTTGTGCAGGATCTCCCTCCTGGATCGTTTGGGTCCCTCATCTCGCACTCAACATTGCTATCACAGTACAAAAACTCCGTCCTTACCGACGCCATAATTCCAAGACATCACGCCTTGCCAGCCCGAGGCAAGCGCGTTACTGCCCAGGAGATGGCCAAGAGTATCCAGATGATGATGAAGAGTTCCCAGCGGTATGCATATCTCCGAGATCTCTTCAAGGTTGTTTTCCAATTCCCGGTTGAAGAGGTCGACACCCGCCGCAACGTCAGCATTGTGGTGTAAACATACTATTTAGCCATATTCATTTATAACCTTCTATTTCGACGCAATGGTGCGTCGAATTGCCTATACTTATGCCACGTTACGTCTAATGTTATTTCATTCTGAAGAGTTTTTGGGAGTCGAGTCACAAGGATTTAGGGACTATTCTATGCCAGCATGCTTACGCACACATCACAATTTTTGTATCGGAGATTGGGGAGGCATTCTGAAGAGATTTATGCGGTGGTCTGTTCGTTTCTACTTGCACGAGATACCCTGTTGGAAAGCTCTAGCGGGCGAGTTGATGATATGAGAGAGCTGGAGGGTAAGGCCAGAAATATTTGGATAAATCAGATCTCCAAGCTTATATCAAGATATTATGATTTAATGTATAGCACGAGTGGATTGAGATAAGTGCAAGCTATTTGATTCGTTATGCTAAGTGGCCTAAGAACTAGGTATCCAAACCGAGTCTCTGTCTATCTAGTTCTGTGGATTCCAGCTTGGGTATCAACTCTAACATGCGACAGCCCTATACGCCTCGTGCCACAGCCTTGCGAAACAGGTCTCAGAATGCTCAGCTGGTGGTTTTCGCCAAACGTATGACTCTGTCTGTGGACAGGTCAAACAAAGGATGACGAATCACTGCTTTGAAGAGCGACAAAGAGGCCCAGATCTATCACGGAGAAGGAGTAGGGGGTATTTGAGAGATGGCCAGTCCCTAGGGGCTGGGTTTTGTCAAGTATAGTATACAATGTGGGATAATTCAGCCACCACCCCAGAAGTACGACTTGGTGATAGCAACTTCAGACCCCAGGTGGTACTGAGCACCTTGGATCGATCGTCACATTGATCCCCGTCGTCACTACTCTAGTTCTTGGGATCGTGTGAAGACCCTGCTTTGGCTGCTTTGTGCTCATCGCTGTGGCTAGAAGTACCTGAAACAGCGGATTGCCTACGATCTTGTGAAATCTTTTGCTCTGAAGTTTCCTCATCCTGATCTTGAGTGGCTTGCGGTTCGCTTTGTCCAGACGCTTGCTGAGCTGGTTCGAAGTACTCTTCACAATACATCGGGGCGACATCATCCCGTCTGGACGTCTCATACTCATGCTCCTGCTTATGCTCTTCAATGTGTGATACCTGTCGAGGGTACACGAAGTCGGAAAGCTGAGAAAGGTTGGATAGGGGCATATCCATGTTAAAGGACGGTGAGTGTTGGGTAGCGGAGGTCTCCTAGACTCCGCCTCCCACAACCACGGTCTGCTGTGGAGATGAGACTGGTGGGTGAGAGCCAGCTATTGGTTGCTGTCTCAGATAGGAGGCGTATGAAGGCTGTAAGTTAGGTGACTGATGAGGTGTCTGGTATGCGACGCTACCGCTCTCAGGGCTTCGCTGATCTGGTGACTTGAGTTGGTGTTGGCCAAAATGAGTGTTGATCGGGGAAAAGTCGCCATTGAAGTTTGCCCTCGCTTGTATCTGCCAGGAGTTAGCTAAAGGCATAGGACCCAAGCCTGCCTGAGCCAGTGCTCCCGAGGAGAGGCTATATGTGTTTGTAGGTGGTGAATGAAGGTTTCCCATCTGAGCCATTGGTGCTGCGTAGAACAAGGGGGCAGAAGACGGGCTGGAGGACTTTATGTCTTCGAATTTGACTGGCGATTGCGTTGGAAGGGATCCAAATTGATATGGAGGTTGTTGAGAAGGCCCTGCTGAAGCTTTGAGAGCCCCTTGGCGAGCTCTCTTGGCTTCAGTCGGCGATCCTCTGTTTCTTAGGTTAGAGAGATACTCGGAAAGGGATATCGATGCGGTGTTCGCAACGTACTCTGAGCCCGGCGAAGTGGAAGAACCAGCTCCTGAGTCAGATCGACGTTCCTTTCGTTTCTTGGATTGCTTGTTGCAAAGGGGAGCCCTACGAGCAAAGATGAGTTAGTTAATTTCAAAGGCAATTGGCAAGACCCTTTTGGCACAAGTCAACTCACCCATAATCAGGATCCTTGCCATATTTGTTCCTCAAATATCGAATCTGGTTGTCTGTCAGTGTTCGGTTGAATCGTTCCCGAAAAGCGTTAGATATCGCATCGTTGTAGAAATCTTTCTCCATGAGGCTTAAAGCAAAGCGTATCTCGTCAGGTTTGTAAACTGGTTTTCCCGTCATCTTGAAGGAAGTGAGAGAATAAGCAAAGATGTGGAAAAAGCGTTGAAGGCGTCGAGCAGTCTAAAGTGTAACTGTCCAAGAAATGTCTAAGTGATCAGCGATGGTGAGAGGTGATAGGTTGTAGGTGATAGACGGTTGAGTAAAGGTTGTTGTTCAGGGAGAACGAAAAGACAATGAATGTCTGAGGTTATCGTTTAAGTAAATTCGTTGACCGTTTGATTAACTTGAGGGTTAATCAGCGTCGTTCATGCCCTTGCTGAAGGCTGTGATTAGGGGCTCGAGTTGTAGACTTCATTTAGTTGCGAGTCAACTGGCACTGAATTATTGACGTAGCTTGAACGTGGATGAAATTGTGCAATTGGATAAAAGAGAGTATATCAAGGGTAATTATCAATGTTTTCCTAAAGAAGAAGCTGTTGTATGTGTAAAGAAAAGCAGGTTTGGTGGTGTTGTGGTGTTGTGGTGTGCTAGCGTAGAAGTGGAGGAGAAGAGAAGAAGAGAAGAAGCAGAAGCGTAAAAGAGGGAGGAGAGGGGGCCCCTTATGAACTAATCCCCGAAGCAACGTCTGGTGATTGTTCACGGGAGATCCATGACTCAAACAGTGTGCAATTGCTTGCATCAAATCATTGGTCTCTATTGTGGCTATGCTTCCTCACTCGCTCAGTGTCTATGTCTAAGGTAGTTCGTCTCATCTTTTCCATCGTATCTATCAACTTCGTCTCTTCTTCAAGCACCTGACTCTTCCTTTCTCTATTAATCACTGGCCCTGGGCCCAGTCAGAGTGCTATACGGGTGCTGCATCACCGACTTGAGACGGCGGTGAGCCACCACGGCTAAAGACACCCAGCCAGCACCGCACATTGCCCGCGTCATCGTCCTCAACCCAGTCGTCCTGCCCCGCAAGTTCGTCCTCTTCTTCGCAGAACAAGGGGGTGTCAAGGTCAAGCATAGCCTGGCGGAACGACTCGAGGAGGCGTTCTGTGGTGGCATCTCGACGCGGGACCATGACGACAGCGCGTGAATCGGAGCCAAGGGCAAGGTGGTCGCTGATAGCTGAGGCGAGAAGCGCTGGGTGTTCATCGTCGTACATGGGATCAGCCGCGAGGACAATCTAGTCACCAGGGGGGTCAGACATCGTTTGTAAGCAAGAGTCATATAAGTATCGCCCTGCAATCACAGATTCTCTACGAGCAAAAACATACCTTGAACTGATTCGGTTGCCCAAACAGGGTCTGGTCAACCTCGTCTTCGCTCCCTCCCCAGGTGAGATCGCCAACTGCGAGTGATCCCCCACGAGAGTTGACAAGCTCAGCGTTCTTGGCCACGTTCTCTCTGAGATTTGGAACAATGTTGGGAAGATCGCTGAGTGCTACGGGGACTTTCCATAGAGCTGCTGCGGCAAGGCCCAACAGGCCAGTCCCAGAACCGAGTTCGAGGACGTCAGGCCGCGATTGACCCAGCGTCTCATCGAACAATCGAAATAGTGATGTCTCCGCCATGCGAGGAAGATGCTGCGATAGTACATATGAAGACCCCCAAGTCTTGAAACCCAAAGAATCTCCGGTAAGCGCCGGCTCTCGAATGATCAGTTCGAACTCATCGTTTCCCTCCCCAAAGGGCCATCTGCGAATAACCTCTCCCATAGCCGTGCGTCCACACCGCTCCGACATGCGCTTGCTTGCCTGGGTCCAGAGAATCTCCTTCTCATCGTCATTGTCGATCCATGATAAGGGGCTCTTGATGATAGAGGAGAGATATCGAGTGACTTCTGCCTTGCGCTGGCTGGCGAGAGATTCTTGCTCCTCGATAATCTCAGAGCGGCGACGCTTGTGGTTCCAGATCGGGGGGCTAAGTTCGAGACTCTGGAGAATGCCTGCAAGTTGAGTGTAGCTAGGGCGTTCCCACATTTGGGGGAAATCGAGTGCTTCAATGCCCATGATGATGAGCCAGAGTCTCTCTTTTCTGCACTTATTGGCCAGTTACGGTGAGGTCAACTGAGAGGAATACTTAAAGTGAGAGAAGGAAATTTCGGTGTGGCAAAAAAGAATAATCAAAGAGTAAGAATTTCAGAACAGAAGGTTTGATCAGGAAACTAACTGTTCAACATGCCCTCAGCAGGAACACAAGACTGTATACACTGCAGAGCATATCGGAGACACCTCGAGTCTAGAACATAGGTAGTCCCTGTTCACTAGGAGTTTTTACAAGGTAAAGGAGAAGTCCGGGGAAAATAAAGAACGCTATTGTAATCCACACATTGTCTCATCTACAGCCGGCAAATAGAAAAAAAATTGTTAACAATGAAAAGAAGAAAAAAAAAAATGAAAAAAAAAGTTGCGTTTTTTTAGCTAACATCTAATTGGGTCAAGTCTATCTTCCTATCATAACTCGTGAGTACCTATGTATCAACGTTGACGTTAAAGCCACATCATGCAAGTATTGCACCGCCACAGACATTCTCGAATGAGTGATCGGCATGGCCCACGTGGCTGATTGACCAGGGGAAAGGGAGCTATGAACCTCAAACTCCACCGTCTTCCCGATTGGTCGCCCTAGCAATATCTAAGGTATCTGTACAGAGTAACATGCATCTCATCCTAGCAACATGGTAAACTCCAAGGAAACACAAAGGAACATAGCAAAAGGAGACAAAAAAGAAACAAATCTAGCGACTTGAACGACCTCTCTGTTAGGATCACCAAGGTTCGCCCTTCTCCCACCCCACAAACAAATGTCTCAGAACAGGTCCCTCCGGGTCGGCATAAACACGGGCATTCTTGAGCTCGACAGCCAGAAATCGGCAAGTTTGCCAATCGCTCATGACCTTGCCTGACAATCTGACAATCTCATCACAAGAACTCTTGAGAGCCTTGTAGCTAAAGTCGAATCTGACGTTTAGGTCTGCGTTCTCTAGCCAAGGTGTCGCGATGGCGCTCTCAACCTGACGAAGCAAGAGTGTGATGCTCGTCTTGGTAGATGTAAAGTTCTCACGGGAAGGGTTGTCGCGAGATCGAATCCAGTCGTTCCAGAGCCACTGTCGAAGAGCTTCATTGGAGGTGTCATGGCCTTGACGTTGGTGCTCGCGTGCAAAGTCCATAAGCTGCGTGTTGTAGAAGACACCAGCTTCGTGAAGAAAATCAGATAGTTGCTTAAGAGCGATGCGTGGTGGGAGGCGATCCACAGGCTGGGCAGGCTGAACATCTTCGTAGGAAGCATAGCTTTTGGTTGAACCTTCGCTTTCGTAGGTCTTTGAGTATCGCGATGCACGGCGACGGGAACGGCAGCAGCCAGGAACGAAGATGTTTGTTGCAGCTGAAGAGGGAGGATACATTTGGCTGTAGTCTTCAGCCATACGAGCAGGCACGTTTCGGAACGGATCTTGAGTCTGAGGAGGGTGGACAGTGTAAACATATGTTGGTTCTGGGAAGTAACCTCCAGGGGGGGCCTCTTTGAGGAACTGGGAGCGTCTGGATGTCATTGTGGGTGATGGCTGTCGCTTTGATTGAGACTGAGACTGAGATTGAGACCGAAGTTGATGAGAAAGCTCAAATCAAGGTGCTCACTTCTGAGCGGATATTTATACATCTTCAAGACAAGTTTGCCTGTAGGACATAGATACCTTGGTGAATTCTGCCCTTCTTCATTCAATGCCTTTAAGCTGCGTTGTCGCATACTAGTCTATAGAGTTCATTGTCTAGGTATCTCTACAACGTTCACCCAAACTCGCTTTTGAACGGCCAGTCGCATAAACGGCACAAAGACTAATAAAGCAACGTGCTACAAAAACTACCTACACAGAAAGTCTTTGCCTTTGACATGCCTATGTTTTCTACAGCCCCATTCTGAACTAGACATCCATGATCAGCCGCTACTTGCTAATCCCTCTTTATTCGGAGGGTCCTGGACCAGCTCACACACAATGTACGGCCCCCACCAAACTCAAAACTCAAAAGACCAACCAATGCAACCAACCCTCTCAGCAGCATCCATATCAAGCCTGGGGACCCAATCTGGTAAACCCGAAGGTAAATCACGCATCCCCATCACATGCGCCTCACGTCATAGTACCACTTCATCTTCCCATTTACCATACCATCGTTGTCACTATTGACTGGTCTTACTCGCTACTGAGCCAGGCTCTCAATCAAACACCAGGTCTCTTTTGTCACTCAATGTAGCGTATATGACTCTCATGATTTCATTTTCAACATTTCCTGTATTGTATTGTATTGTATTGTATTGCTTGGCTTTTGCTTGGCTTTTGCTTTACCTAATCTAACTGCCTGCCTTGGCTTGGCTTTGTCTCTGGCCGCGTTTGGCCTATCTTGTCTTCTCATGTGGTATCAAAAAAAAAAGAAGAAAAAAGAAAAAGAAAAACGATGCAAATATCAAAGAGAGCTCCATCCCTGTCCGACAGGTGGCTCGTTCATGCAGATCCTGTTTTCCCAATGCAAAATGCAACTAACTGTAAAGTTATCCGGTCGTGATGCTGTACGCCGTTGAAATCAAATCCCCACACCCTATCTTGTCCTTATTCCGTCGTATTATTGCCGCCTTTTAGTTCCTCTCTGGGGGACATTCACTGTAAATCTCCATCTTCATCGTTTTCAGTCTATCTCTCATCTCCATCAGATGGCCCAGCTTCCTGCTTGAAGGGTTGTCCAACGCTGAAATCTCATGGTGCAGCGTCTCATACTTTTGATAAAATAGCTTGAACGCCTGTGCCTTCTGCACAAGATCATCGGAAAACCTTGATGCTGCAGGTCGCTTGATGACACCACCCTTGCTGAAGCCTTCGACCTTGCGCTTCTTCGCAACAATCGAGGCAGCGGGTGCTTCATTCTCCAGATCCGAGGCATTGGTGGGTGGCGATGATGCCAGGGGAGAAGACTTCGTTGGGGACGTATTCTTGCTCTTTATCGAGGTTGAGGTTATCGTTCCGCGAGAGTTCTGGCTTGCGTCCGATGGCCGATGCTTAAGTCGGGGGGCAGGAAGAGGCTGCTTGGGCTTGATGCGTTTCGACAGTGGTGTTCCAGAGCTCGAGCTCGAGTCGTCATCCTCGCGAGGTCGCTTGGCCGTAATCTGCTGCTTCATTGGCTCCCTTACCACAGGTCGAGGTTTGGCGACGACCGTGTCTCTCATCTTAGGTGCAGGTTTAGGCACAGCCTTTGGCTTAGGTTTGACAATAGGAGCAGCATCATCTTCTGAGGTGTCCGAGTTAGAAATAATGGCCTGCGATAGAACTCTTCCCCCATTTGCCTTGGGCGCAGCGGTGGGCCGTGCCTTGGTGGGAGATGCTTTAGCAGAAGAGACCTTGGATGTCGGCTTGGAGGATGCAGCTGATGCAGTCGTCTTGGCCTTGGATTTGCCCAGAAGACGCTTGACCTGGGCCTCCTGTGCTGTGGGTTTCTTGGGCTTGGTAGAGAGAGGGTTCGAGGTGGACCTTGACATAGCCTCTGCTGCAGCCCTTGGCCGGTTGGCGTCCTGAGAATCCCCACTATCGCGAGGCGTTGTGCCTCCATCCGCCATTTCAACATTAATTGACGGCGTGCTGACAGTCTTCGTGATCTTAGCCTGCACTCGGCTAAGACTCTTGCCGGTTCCTCGCTCCTCCTTGGGTAGTAGTCTGTCCCACTCTGGCTCTGAGATGGTGACTCTCTGCTTGTCATATTGGCGAACAGCGTTGTCAATCGCCTTCTGTCGTACTTCTTGGGTATCATAATCATAATTCCAAACATCGAGGTCTCTCCAGGACTTCTTCTTCAATGACCATTTGTTGTTATCGTCGAGATCATCAGCAACTTTTCGAAGCGTCGGCTCCATGTCTTCCACCTTGCCTTCCCACCTCTTGGCCAAGTAATCAAATGAGCGATCCTGCACAGCGAGCTCATGCACCAGCATGGCTCGGTCTCCCTTGGCTCGGTCAAGGGGCTGTGATGTCGTAGGGTTGGGTGTAAGTGAGCCGAGCGAAACTTGGCCTGGTGATTGGGGGATCGATCGTGGAGTTGAGTCGAGGAATTTGCTTTTGCTCTTGATAGCTGCCTTCTTCGCTGGTAATCTGTCGACCACGCGAGTCCTTCAAAACATGTCAGTATGATCATCCCAAAACTATATGCAAGTGAGACCGACTTCTCCCGAGAAGCAGCGTGAGCCGCAAGTCCATTTTGAAGAGCCTCGATGTCAGAATCTCGCCCTGATTGGGCGCTCTTGCTAGACTTTGCGGCCTTGCCGTCAGTGGTGTTGTCGGCCTTGCCAGTCTTCAATTTCTTCGAAGCAGCGCCTGGTGGCTTTTCAAACAGAGAGCCAGTGTATGATATCTTTTCAGCAGTTCGTGTCGATTCGAAAGGTCGTGTGAGGTAAAGATCATATGGGTTCGAATCGGAGGGCGGCTCAATGGTGTGGGATTTGGTCCCAAAGAGCAAGGTCTGGCACGGGCACATTAGCATTCGAAAACAGAAGCCAAATGTCCAACCTTGGATCCGTTGTGGCAAGAGGCTCTGAACTCACAGGGTTGGCTCCAAGGGAAAGTTGAATTCCATCTCCGTTCTGGACGCATTTGATCATGTCCTCGATAACATTGTCACATAGGGTGACTGCAAAGGCCTGGGGAGGTAGACTGGCATCCTTGCCAGTCGAGCCCTCCAGCTGCAGCCCGCTTTCGGGAACCTTGAGCGAGTTCATACTGGAGGACATCACGAGCCTCTGTAGGCCGTGGGGTGGGAAATGTCGCGGAGTTGAATGTTTGTGTCGATCAATGCAGAAGCTAGGCGGAAGCGTGACGTTGGATCGTTCGGTTTCGCAGGCTGAAGATAAAGAGAAGAAGTCGGAGAATCGTAACTGAGGAAGTAAGGATTCGTTAATGTGCAATAGTTAAAAAAGAAATCGTGAGGATCGTTGTCACATTGTCATCCAACAATGTGAGCTGGGAGAGAGGCCGCTGTTTTGATGAGATGGGCGTGAGAGGCTAGGCACATGGGGGCCGTTCTCCGATTCAGGAGGACAAAGGGGAGCGCCAGATGCTTTTGTCACTGACAGGCAGTGCAAAGATCCTAACACCTCAAAGCACACAAAGAGTCTCCAACGCCCTTTGTAATTTGCAACTCTCGTTGAGAAGCAAAAAACAGGTTGAGGGAGAAAGTTGTTGGAGGGCGGAGATGATGAGGGAATGAGAGCGGCAGCGGCGAGCCCAAGTCAAGGACGGGAGACGAGGGTGTACCAAGGTACTGCGTGCGGAAGGAACTGGGGGGAGGTACCCGCGTCTGTCTCTCTGCTACCTCACCAGCCAGCAGACCAGCAAGCAAGCAAGCAAGCACGTCTGACCTTGACCTTACCTGACGGGCGGGAGTGGGTGCGGCCAAACAGGGAAGTTGACCGGGGTGGATAGTACAGCACAGCACAGCGAACAACACAGCGCAGCACAGTACCAAACTTGGGGTCCGACAGCGCAAAACACCGATTGACAGCACCATTACTCCAGCAGGGAGATGCTGTCTTTGGCCGATGGCCAAGATACCCGCACGGTACGCTACGAAAATTCGTCCGGGGTGAGAGTACTTAGCCATTACTCAAGGCTCTACAGTGGTCTCAGTGATGGGAAACCGTCAGGAGGGCTGTGTCCCAGTGGCCTCTCAGAGCCCAGAAGCACTGCAACTCTATCTCCAACAGCAACAAACTCAAAATCATTTACTGGACCAAATGTTCCTTTCCTGTACACAAATATCTTCAGCTTCGCTAGCGTCCACTGGGGCCGTGGCTGCGGTGGCGTGCCTGATGGTGCGCCTGATGGTGCATGTGGAAGAGTCAACCGGTCAAGGTCCCTTCAGGGGTAGAAACAAAGTACTGTCCATGAGCTTTGAGCCACTGTAGAGCCCTACAAGCTGCCCTAGAACAGCTTCTGATCACGGTCGAGTACTTGATGACGACATTAACCACGAAGGGCGGATCAAGTACCACGACGAGGCCCACAGCGACCGAGTGAGGTGGTGGATGCATGCAAGGCGTTGTGCTAGTCGAGTAAACTCGTCCCAGAAAAGCGAAAAGCCAAAGGGTTCCTCCCGTCCCGTTTGCCGGCCTCTGGAAGATCTTTGTCTCTCTTTGAGGTATTTGATCATGGGAGAAAGGATTCTTTTATATCGTGAAGCCGGCGAGATGAGATAAAGGACGAGAGGCGAGGCAATAGTGCTCTTCAGATTGTCGCATATCGTTTGTTCTCCCCAATTGGTTGTCAGGTCGTCAGCCCAAAGAAACGGGACTCGACGGGCTGGATCCAGCGGGCAGGTTGAGCTACGAGCCTAGCGAACGAACGACCCATTCTGAAGTCTGGACGACCCATGGCGAGACATCAAGGGCTCGGTATGGGACTTCACGGCGGATCTGTCATCCGGCCGGGGGTATTCTGGTTGTGGCCGTGGTCGTAGTCGTAGTCGCAGTCGTGGCCGAGCCGTGGATGGGATGGATGCATCCCATCTGATCTGTTTAGGCCTCATTCCAGAAACGGCTGGCCGGGCAGTCAGATTTCGGAGGGCTGGAACAAAACTTGCTGAAACAATTGTGCAGCTTCAAAAGGCCATCGCCATGAATTTCAGCCATTCAAGCCTTGCTGAGGCTTGAATTTCTTTCTTACCCCTTTGTTACCTATCATCTCTCCCTTGAAATGGATCTTTAATAAATGAACTTGGCCCCAATCTCATCTGCCTTGCTATGCCTGCAATAACAATAGCTTGAGCTCAAACCCCCATACCCATAACCCCTGTCACCGCGCTTCCAGCGAGCCGGCAACGGATCCATGACCGTTTTGGCCCTACTGACTATTCACAGTGGATCTGTGACTCTATTTCCAGTGACTCGAAAGATTGAGCAAGTGGATTGTTAAGCAGAGAAGCAATCTCGACGATTCTTTCAGACTTCGTTATCTGGATACCTGCCTTATTGCTTATGGAAGCGAAAGAAGGGGACTTGAGTAACAAGAGGCGGGTGTCTGGAACCCTGCTTTTTCCAATCGAGCGATGTGAGGCTAAACCCGATGTCTTCAGCCAGCCAGTGGCAGACAGGGAGTGATGTGAGGTGCAGCACAGTGACGCTGCCACATGGCGACCGAGGACTTGGGGGGTCTGATGATTGGACATGTGCCGAATGGCTTCCGCGATGGGATTTTCACGGTCTGTTCTGAGGCTTGAAGGCCTCTAGCACCCTGCTTCTGGTTCTGGTCTTTTATTACGATGATCCAGGCATTGATCTAAGTCGTCTATTATGCTTCTCGATACGAAAGGTTGCTATTGTTCGTACTACACTGCTGACCAGACAGAAGCAGAGATGCCAATGCGTCATGTCTTGGAGAGTATGCCCGTCTCGGCGGCATCCCCGTGATCTGTGGTCAGCTCAAAAACAGCTCAGCATCCGGCCACCATCATTTCTGTTTGTGTCGAGTGTGTAAAGAGGCTGATTGGGGGATATGCGGAAGGGTATGTTCCAGGTACCGTTCTTGTCTGATGAACCTTTTATTTGATTTGGGCTCTGAGCTGATGAAGAGTCAATCAGGGATCCATCTGCATGCATGGAAGACTGAACCCCGGTGAGTCTACGGTCGTATGTGGCTTACAGAATACATGTCGGGCTGTCCGTTTCCATCGTAGAAGAGGCTAAGGCGTTCTATTTTCTGCCCATCAGTGTCACAGGCTGACGTTTTGACTCTGAAACCCTTGGAATTAATACGATTGTTCTTGGAACTAATCGTAATGGGCTCGAAAAGCTTGAGGACGATTTATTCGAGGCTCATTCCAAGGCTGTGCAAATTTGACCAAGAAAAAACCCTCCACGCAAATCATCTACTGCGACCCTCCTTTGGCTGGCGTGGTCGGGACCTTGCAGATGAATTGGTCTGGTGGCAGCTGGACATGATTGCCGATCATCGCATCCTGGTGGATCAGGGTCCAGAGTTCTTCAAGTCTTCAAGACATGAATGAAGAGAGCACAGTAATTTGTAAATGCACAGATTATGCAGGGCTCGTGAAGTGGCCTGAGACCTACAATAATACGAATATGATTTGCATGACAAAGAGCGACATGAGCATAGACCTTTGGAAATTGGTTTCCGAATATTATTATGGGATATTTCAGTGGTCTTGATTGAACCCAGATATATTGACAGGCAAAATAAAGTATTGCCCGCTCATGTCACCTCTCTGCGGCCGTTCGGGTCAAACTCGACTACCCGGTAGCTAAATGCAGAAGCTACCTATCCAAGCACCAAACTGTCGTCAACCAATATATCTCTACATGATGAAGCCTTTGACACTCTCTCAAAACATCATATTGATCTCGTCCCAGTATTCGGAACCGCTGCTAACCGGAGATGGGCATCATAAGAAGGGAACACCCGCTCCTCCGCTCCGCAATGCGGGGAAGAAGCATTTTGAAGAGCGGAAAGCAGGATTTATTAGCCACAGCCACCGAAGAAGCCGGACTCTATAGCCGAACCACCACCATCGAGAGACAGACGAACGAAGCAACAGAAGAAAAAAGAACGCACTCACACACTACAAGTCTCCGACATAATCCGGTTGCGGATGACACTGCATGATCGAACACAGTACATATGCACATCTCCATCAAAAAGAAAGCCTCAACAACACCAAATGCCCCGCCCCCGCAACACTGGTGGTTTTTATCAACTCCACCACGCCGATAATTCTCCTCTTGTGTCTGAAGACTATTGATTCTCGAGACAGAATAGGCGCGTCTTTGGTTTTTCTCTTCCGAGCGACTTACAGAGTGTTTGTCAAGCAATCATCATCTCAGATGCTGTCTCCAGTGGTTTGAGCTTGTCGTAAAGCTCTACCACTCAGACCTGTCTCCCACGCTCGGTAGATTTATTTAAGCTTTCCCTTAATCATAACGGTAGAATTTTTTTTAATGATTTTTTGACTTTCAACGGTTAGTTATTAGCGAACCCCTCTAATCTTTCAACCTGAACTCGACTTTTCTTGTAACGAGTGTGTACCGATCTGAGCTAATAAGACACTTGTTCGTCACACAAAATGCAATTCTGAATCTAGATGCCCGCCAACCTAAGCAGCAACGCAACATCTCTGCGTTGCAATTATTTCGACTCCACGAATATTACTGGTATTACAGTACAGCCCAGTAACAGCTTGAGAACGTGTGCCTAGCTGTGTCTGACCAGGATCAGTCCGCCGGGGGAACTAAGCGGAAGACCCTTGTTCAACATGGGGGCGCCACTGTTGTGCTGTGCAACAAGGATTTGTCTTCCTTTCGGTCCAAGAGAAGAGTTGAAAAAGGTCATGTACCCTTTGGTGACGCGCCTCATTCGAGGTACAGTTGCACAAGAGTGGGAGGAGCTCGGCGAAGCATGATCGCTGACATCACAGTCTGTGGTATCTAGCTGTAGGTATTTGCATATCTCGCACTTCTGCTGAGCCATTACAACACGTACAAATGTCAGTGGCTTGTTATCGCGCTTGGCGATCTAAATTTGGTGATTGAAAGGGTTCTCAATTGGTGAAACTCTTCTGTCTCGTCACTTTATCCGCCAGCCTATTCAACAGACCGACAGCCACAGCAAGCATTCACTGTACAAAGACCACTGGCTCTTTTCCGGTTCTCACCGTTAAAAAGACCTTACTGTGAATGTGCTGGAGGCCCGTCTAGCGCTATGGAAATGGTCACGCTGGCAGATGGCTCCAGACTCCATCAAGGCTCCTCTCTCCGTCTCGCCTCGCCTCACCTGGTCTCTCGGGACATCCCACGTCGAACCAGTCTATGGTGTCCGGATGTCCTGAGAATCTGTTAATGACCCGGATGATGGGCCTGGTGATCCGAGGTTTCGCTGCAGACCGCTACATAGTGGATGGTCGTAAGATGATGTTATTGTGCTACGAGGTAGGTCTGCAAGTCTGTCGATTCAATTGAACGAATGCAACACATTGAAAGATGCAGGAATATTCTGCCATAACGAAGTACAGAGTGGGCCATGCATGCGCCACGGCTGTTCGTGTCTTTTTGAGGCTGCGCTGACATCTCCCACCCTGTACCCGTATCTGCATCTGCATCTGCATCTGCTAAGCCAGTGATCCTACAAAAAGAACCTGGAATGTCTCAGATTTTGCCGCCTGGCCTCTTGACTCGTGACCATCCTGAGTCTGATGTTTGTTTGGTGTTTGGTTTACGTTTTAGAAATTTCGTTGATACTAATAACTACCGATATTAGAGGGAATGGCATCTGTAACAGGGACTGTGTCGATGCCTCACCCTTGAGAACGGCCGGCCATTCAGTAAAATTGCAGCAGACAAAACAAACAAAACAAAAGGGGAGTTTTCTCGGCGAGTGATTCAGGTGGAAATCGGGTACTGCCTGGACCCGCTGACTTTTCGATTCCCATCCATGATGAACAAGGGTGATATCCCTGACGCGGGCTCCTTTGCTGTCACCTCGTATGGCTTCTGCTGATGTAGTTTACTGGGCAAACATGGGCGCTTATTTGCCTCATCATGACGCTTTGTCGCATACAGTATTATTGACCGTGTCCAAGTATAGGATTGAGTCTCTAGGGCTATTCAGACCAACTTGATTCATTGATTTAGTCCTTGTTCAGGGCACAGAGACATTGAAACGCATTGTTGAGCGCTGCGAGATTGGCTATTGCAAGGGCGGCAGCTCAGCGCCCTCAACATACTTCCTAGGAAATAACTGACTATCAATTCAAATACCCTTTTCCTTCTGTTTATCCTTTCACAGCTAATCTTTCTGATACACAAATGGCCGCTGAGGTCCTGAGGAGTGAAGACTGAAAGGTTATACCATGTGTTGATCCAACTCCCTTGTCCTCGCCAATGTAACTGCGACATCAGTCTTCCGACATAGGGCCATAGTATGTATCAGCAAGTCAACAGATACTGGATTGTCGTTTCAATCGTCTTCTAGCCAAGTTGGCGGCACCTGAACCTGTAAGAATACCCGAAGTGGCTGTCTGATGGTTTCAATATTCGCCATGCGTAACCCTCGCTCGGGACCCCGAATCTGCAAAACATTTTGTGACTTACAGCTTTACTGTGCTTGGAAATAACGGTGATTACTATTTGTCATGAGCAATACCTTTATCGCATAGGTCATGAGTTTCTGGCGTTTCGGATGAGTGAGCTCGAGCCGCTTTGCCTTCAGTGCCTGGGAGCCTCTTCTGACAAACGTAAATACCAAGTTTCCAACCTTGAGGATAATAAGATATAGTTACTCGCTTCATAATGGAGGTATTGTTAGCAACTAATAGTAATTTGGTAAGCTTGAGACGAAACAGGAGCATGGTTGTTGGCCAGTATATGCTCGCAACCGTGACACTTGAAGGTCAGAGTGAAGGTTGAACAACAGTTTTGTCATGAAACTGTATAATAAAAAAGACTACTGTTAGAGATTGAGTTATCCATAGAGATATCTGGGGATATATATCCCAATCACAGCAATATTGAGGTTGAGCAATAGTGAAGTAAGATGTTACTCGACTGAGCCCTTGGGTTCACTCTAGGGTAGGTCACTTCGGGAGATACGACAACACAATCCTACCTTATCATGGCACTTTGATATTCGTCAGATCATACCAATACCAAATCAGCAGAATCATGCACCTTGTTGGTCATCAATACTCCATAACAACTCATGTTCTGTCATGGATCACCAGCAATGGTCATCATAAACAGTCATCTACTCTTTTAGGTACCACAGTATGTGCAATATCAGACATCTCAACCGAGCGGCATATGCTCGGCTTATTCGGTCTAATCGGGCCTGGTTGGACTGTCCATCTGCACCTCTTGATCCTAATGCATCCTCATGCGATGCACATGTGGTGCAGCACTGTATGTGGTGCATCTTCCGGTTCAACCGCACGTACAGCGGTCCAGCTATCATTGTTGGATTTCCATCATAACGAGAGCTCAAGTCTCTCTCCAGTCTTTTCTTCACTACCTAGAAGACACTAGATTAAAGTCAACTAACTATACACTATCAATGGTCTCTCAATTGCTTGTTCCTTCTCAACTTTGAGATTTTCCATATGGACCCTTCTCGACCAGGATCTTCTCAGAGGGGTACCACCCAACCCTGTTCAGCGGGTGAACAAGTGTGAGTGAGTGGGTCGTAGTGTTCTCGGTCACTTTAGGCTTTGGCTTGGCCATTCTTTGACTTGATGGTGTTGATTAGAGAGAGTATTTTTCTTCTCTTCGGCTGAGGGTCTGTGCTATTGGATGATTCTAACGGCAGCGGCCCGGACCATTATATTCCAATGAAAAAGCCTCTCCATATGCCTCAAGAGTCTATCTTGAGTAAATTTCTTATCGGGCAAAGAGTCGTTGATCAATTCCAGTCGTGTTAGCCAATTACTCAACTTCTCCATGTCTGAGGTCATCGTTATAGTGCCTGATGATCTTGCACTTACACTTAGACTGTAATAACATCATAATGTACCCCTACTATTAGAGTTTTCTGATACTTCACTTTTCATTATGAGCCAAGATCTTCCATTTGCTCAATGGCGTTCTCACGGACAAAGAATGGCCATATCAGGTTATGACACATCAACTTCTTACCCGTCATGCTAGCCTCAACTCCACAAAGCCTCTCTTTTGACTCCTCCCCCCAAAAGAGGGAATCAACTCGTCCTGTTCCTGTTCTGTTCCTGTCCCTGTAACTGTAATTGTAAGCGTACCCTCCTCATCCGTCGTCTTGATAGACGCCCACCCCCACGCCAACGCCAACACCAACGAGAAGGCGTCTATTATATGGAGCCCCGCCTCTGTTCCGAAAATGTCTCTAGTTTCAGTCACTTAAAGAGTTGATGTGAGGTGTGGTAGCTAGCGGGACTTCAGGACCGACTCGGTAAAGACGGACGAGGCATTTGACTTTGTCCCGATCCCAAAGGTCCCCCCCAATCTGCCATCCTTTGACGGGTGTGCCGTCGCTTACACTGCTTAGACTGCCCGCCGTGGGTAATCGGGTAAGTAAATCCCTCTGGGGCCGCGCCTTGTCATCTACAGTAAGGTAAGAGTCTCTTCGACACCACGTGAACTGGTTAGAGGTGGATCGTCGAGGCTGTTGATCGGACGGTTGACTAGACCCTTAGATGGCCGTGATTTTCGCGATGTTGGGGATCGTGCATGATCGGCGATTACTATCGTCAGTGACATCTCTGACTCGAGCCTATTCCAACAACAGCATCATCAGTGACAGCCTTGCAGAAATCGAACGATGACCGACATGTCTGGCAGTGACAGTTATGTCTCAGGAACAAGACACACCAGGCTGTCAGAATATCCGATCTCAAACTAAAACCCAACAGCCTTGCATCAGGCACACCTTGGCAGCCCGTCATGGCTGATCAGCCACCCCAGCAACAAACTTCACAACATCAGGATCAGGCTGGGCCAGGAACGGAAAGATTTGGAAAAACTGGGCGAGCGCCCCTCATTATTGATCATGAACCTAGTACAGCCGCAAGCTCCACGGCCGCCCGTCTCGTACATAGAGGCAGATCCAGCAGGGTAGGGTGGACGATACAGCAGCAGTCAGCAGCCATCGATCGTGTTGCCTCGCTGCCTCTTGCTTTTGTCTTTGCCTTCTTGTCCCACCACACCCGTCCCTCTCGCTACAGCAAGCTCTTCCAAAGGCCCCCACCGGTGAGCCATTTCTCCCATGCCTATTGCGTTTTGAATAGTAGAATTGCGCAGTGGCCAAGGTAAAAGTAGATAAAGTGCTTGGTCTCTGCGTAGCGTGTTAGCCAGCCAGCCGTGCCCGGGGCTATGGAGTCGGAGATCGGCGTGTTGGGTTTGACGAACCGTGGGTAACGAAGCTACCGAAATTTCGGCCAACAATGCAGTGCCAGGTTGGTCCCTTTCGCTCGTCGAACTACGCTCTGTAAGTACGGGATCGATTGTGACAGGTTTGGCGGGTACGAACTGTGCGCTTGATGTGCTGTGCGATGTCCTGTCATAGTGTGTCAGCTTGGGTGCCTACAGGGACGCAGTACTTGGTGAGGAGGAAACCTTCTCAATGGTGAACTTGGCCATGGCTTCCTGGGCTATCGTCACGTCAGCCTCATCTTCCTGCCGCCGGCGCAAAACTGTCATAGATTCCCATACCAACTTCGATAGACTCCTGTTGCATATCCTCCGTCTTTGGCACTCTCTCGTCAGCGATCGCGTCCGGAATATCGGTACGTATGTCGGGTTATCTCACCATGTCGGCGGACTTGATCTGAGCTAGCATTATATCAGTACGATGCCTCTCAAGCTCCAAAGAGGGTGCTGCTTACCCTCGAGCTTCTCCCGAGCGACGGGAGACTCTGCCTTGGGAACGTGAGCGTCGGCCATCTTGTGTTAAGTTTAGGTTGAGGACAGTGTTCGGTTTAGGAAACAAAGGCGACCTGCGAAGTCTTGTTAGTCTGAGTTGTTGTCGTGAGGCTGGCGCTGGACGACGCCTTGGTGTGCGCCCCCTTTCTTGAGAGACGCGGGACGGGATGCTAGCCGTAGAGGATCCAAGAAGTACATACGGGATGTATGGAGGGTACGAGGCGTCAGTGTTTTCGACTGCTAAAGTAAAAGTAATAGCGACTAGTATTACAATTGAATGTGTCTGGAGTTTTGCCGTTGATTGACTTGCTGAGACGCGCAAATGCTAAAGCCTTGTGGTGACTGTGGAGCGGATTAAGTGCACAGTCGTGTGTTGGTGCTCGTGATTGGTTGTTGCTGGCCAAGCTGTAGCCTTGTCAGCATCAGCGTCGGTTTCGTGGTAGCTGCCCTGGAAACAGAGCGCACGGATGGGACTGGATACTTCTTTTTGCTGTGACGACGCCAGGGGCGGCGCGGCTCGCATCGGTGTACTTAGCTATCTGTGTAAGTACGTACTCCGTACCAAACCCTTTGACATGCTCCGTCTACCTTAGGTTGGCGATATGGCCTACCCTGTACTTTCCCCATGCAATGTTGTTCTATTCTTCCCATATGATGAAATTGAACAATCAATACTTTCAGTATCGTTGCTCTGTATGTATATTCAGTGTTACTATCCATGATTTACTCGGTCGCTACGTAGCGTTTGCTTGATCAACCTCTTTACTACTAATTCCAGAGATGAAGCTTAAACTTCGCACTTACAGATCAACACATACTAAGGACTCTGAACCGGCAAACATGATAACTTAGAGATGCCGTGGCCCTGCCATTTGAAGGCGAAAGGACAAGGAATAACAAGGGTCCTTACTCACATGAACCTTGACATCAGTCAGTGAGCAATATACTCCATCGACTCTGCACGCCATAGTTGGTGAATTGTGACGCCCAGTGTGTCAGATCATGAGCGCGGGTGCATTTCACAAAGTATTACCGTGTTCGATCATGTACGGAGTTCAATGAGAGTTCTAGCCTGGCGAATCACGACTCTCGTCACATCGACTGAGCTGTTTTGTTGGTGATACAGCACAGCTCTAAGGAGATGGTAGTTATTGGTAGGTAACGAAAACGAGACACGACTGGTGGATAGGTTCCATAAACATCCTGAGTTCACCCCCTGTGATGTAAATTCGCAAGGGTGTACTCAGTATGAGCGGATGAGTTCCTGGCCCTGACTGTAGACCATTACAGTACACTCAGGACAGAATACATACATGTCAGCCAGGCACCAGGCACACAGAGGCGCATATTTAGAACCACAAAGGAAAACCACGAACATGTCAACACGGCGTTTCACAGCACCGTCGTGATTATCATGAAAGTTCCAATAAGTTCAAAGGTCCACACCGTAGTGGAAACGCTTAACGGCAAAAGGTCCTACGTCCGAGGTAGCCTCCTGCACACATCTCTCGTCACAGCCCAAAGAGGCATCAAAGTATGCCAAGACCGTGACAGACTTTGGTGGCGTCATACGTATACAGAAACTCATCAAGTAAATGGCCCACGAAGTTGGGCTTGAGGGACTATCAGTGCGCCGATTGCAGTTCTTACCTCTTCTCCCCATGGTCTCCAGTGATAGGACAACGTTAGGTTCTTTCAGAGGGGAATTCGTGCCGTGGAACCTTGTTGGAACTTGCGATATCATTCGGTCGCCAAATGTGACAGCGACCGTGGCAGAAGCGATGAAGAGTTTTCTAATGATGGATTGACACCGGAGTCATGGTAGAGAAGCGAGGTCCAAAGCGTGAATAAACTTCAAAGTTCAACCGGAAGAAGAATAGTTGTTGTTGTTGTTGTAGTCGAGTAGTTGCCGCATCCGGAGGATAGTGTAATAACTCTTGCTCGTGGGTCATGGGCGAAGCGTCGCATAATGACTCAAGACGACCTGTTCACCAAACCACGACTGACTCCCAAGCTCTTGTGATCAAAACCGCAGTCCAGTATCTCGAATACGTTTGACGTCTGTCGGGAATAATGCAGTTATTTTGGTGAAAAGTCCGGGTCTCGGTGACATATCGACGAGTTCCAAGATCGTAATTCCGGAGTATCATTGCCGTGTTGAAGACCAATTGACCAGCCATATGGTCCATGTTGAATACATTGAAAGAATGGACCATTGTGTCTTTCAATACGATGTTGAAGTTACTGGGAAATGCATCTGGCATACATTTCCAGTGTCCCTTGAGCAGCACTACTGGAAAAACGGATGAGTGAGCAGTGAGGTCTTCTTATACTTATGAATTCCGAGTGTTCCTGCACGCTGAAAGTCAGATGGCCCTCCATAAACTTTGACAAGAATTCTCCGGAGAATATGGCTTGCATCCGCATTCCCTCACAAGTCATTCCAGAGCTCCTGGTGTGGAGTGTGCATCTCAAGTATGCCAGAATGCACATCAAGAATGCACATCTCAGCACCCCTCTGGCAGATCTAGAATATAAAAAGCACTTCTCATTAAACGATTACCATTTAATTGAAGCTGAAACTCTTGGATTCGTCTCAAGTTCACGATTCTCGAAGTATTAATCTTTGCCAAACTGTGCAATGGTAGCTGAAAGGTTGGAGGCAGGAATGTCGCAAAACCAAATTCAGAGTTGAAGGGCCATATAAACTTTAGAATATTTCTGGATGTCTACTCACCGCTCCTTGGTTTGAAAGCTAATTCCAAGTTGCTAGGGAACCAGGCGGAGAAGATGCTGTTTTGTTGATCTATTACCTTGCATTCAGTTAATACATGGCTGCAAACGATGAGCCTGGCATGGAGAATCCCTTATTGAACATGAATGAAATGAGGACTGAAGAAGATAAACTCAAGTCAAAGAATCATGAGCCCAGACATCGAGAACTTTGAGGCTCTCATTGTCTTGTAGTCTCCGAGGAGATGTGCCCATGATCGGCGTCTGACAAACGTATAACGCCCCGCGATCTGACTTGCATGTCGGAGATGAGGAACTTGTCCTTAGATCCGCTACTAGTAATCAGTAATTCACCGAGTGATGATATACATGTATTCGAGCAAGCAATAGACATGAATGAGTGTTGTAGGAGGGCTTTGTGTAGTACTGGTGTCCTGATGGCTTGTTGGTCCACAGACTAATGCATTCGGCATGAACCATACAACACAATCACCAGCAACGGAAGGCGGAAAAAATACAGCAGCATGAAAATCAGAGAAGCATCGCGAGAGCCTAGAAAGCCACTGGATTCCAGAATTACCCCCTTGGCATTCAGTATGCAGGTCTTGTGTGGAAGATGAGTCTTGCAGGCAAAACCATACCCTCCACACCAACATTCTTGAAAGCGTGACCTCGGAGCTGAGAATACGAAGTGGTTTCTTCTGTGATGAGGCTCCTGTGGACAGATATACGCTTTTGAGTTGATGTTTATTGGCAGTAAAGTGAACACTGAGATGGCAGAATTTCGCAGCTTCATGAATAATACTGGCCAGTAACTCTCGTCATGCTCAGCAGAGCAGAATCTCTCGTGAAGGGAGACACCTAGATTCGTGAGTGAGTAGCTACCCTCGACCGTTTTCAGTGCTGTCATACTGTTTATAGTGGCGTTTGACTTGTTGACTGGAATTTCTCCCATCACTGAGCTCAGGGCCGTGAAGAAAAACAACTGAATATAGAAGCATCTTGGAAGCTGATGGTGGGGTTGGACTGTTAGAAAAATCCGGTGCACGGGCCAACCTCGGGTCCCAACCTCGGGCAATAAGAATGTGGTAGAGAAACTTTTTTTTCCTCTCTCCCTTCTTAAAGAGCCCAAGTTCTGAAAATGACTTCACGCGTTCAATTCCCACGGTGAAATCATTCGCCATTGATCGGGAGATATCAAACAACAAACAACAGCATCATAATGGCTTCATCGAGGATATTCATCAAGGGTTTGCCACCCAGTATCTCGGAGGCTGACTTTCGGAAGCACTTCTCCGCCCAAGGTCGCGAGATTACCGATGTCAAGCTGATTCCCCAGCGACGCATTGGCTATGTGGGCTACAAGACACCCGAAGATGCCTCAAAGGCAGTCAAGTACTTCAACAGGTCTTACATTCGCATGTCCAAGATCGCCGTAGAGACTGCGCGACCTGTGAGTTGACTCCTCTAAATGTCTTGACTTCTCATACTGATGGAATGCTAGATCTCAGACCCCGCCCTCACCAAAGGCAAAGGCCAGAGCGCCTGGCATTCCAAAGCTGCATCAACTCCATCCACAACAATCAAGGGCAATGAGCAGCCCGCTGAAAAGGAGTCAGACTCGAGCTTGAGAAAGCGCAAGCGAGATGAGCCCCAGCCGGCGGACCCGAAGCTACGCGAGTTCCTTCACGTAATGAAGGAAGGCAGAGAGGGCGCGCTCGATGATGGTGTCCGCGGTGGTCTCGGCGACGGCGTTGCTGCAGTTGCTGCCACTGCTGTTCCTGAAGAGGAGAGCGATGATGAGTACGAGCAGATTCCCACTCGAAGGGAGAAGCAGCGCAGGATCGAAGCACCAGAAAAGCTGCCGGTCTCTCAATCTTTGCCATCGCAGCTGAAAGAAGTAAGGGTGGTCTCTGATGTGCAGGCGGAAACTCCTGCAGGCGACGAACCTGTGGAGCCTCAACAAGCAGCCGCGAAATCAGGTCTGGAACAGCAGGAAATAGTCGCAGAAGATGACGATTGGCTTCGCTCACGAACAAGCAGACTGCTGGACCTTGTTGATCCCGATGACTTGGAACGAACTCCTGCGCAAGGGCCATCAACAACTGAGACCGATCATGCAGAGGGAGGCGAAGCTATGGAACTCACTTCTGTTGACCCGCCAGCTACAGCTGACGTGGCGATGAATGAGACCACGATTGAGGCATCGGGGGGTGAACCGGCAAAAGACGACTCACTGGAGGCGATTCGCCGAACATCAAGACTTTTTGTCCGGAACCTGCCCTACA